CTTGTTCTGGCAGAAGGGCGCCTGTTGTCGCGCGTTTTCTATCAGTGTAATTGGAAGAAAAGCGATAGAACATACGTAAGTACTGTACGTGCACTTGCGAGTAATGGATCATGGCTTTACATGTAATAGACGTCGTAATCAATTGGATTTTCGGATGCATAATACTCGCTCTACATAATTTCACAAATCTCGCGTTAAACTAAGCTCAATACCGCTGTTGATTTTTTTTGGCACATCTGCCCGATCTTTATATGTTCACGAAGTACTTTAATGTTCGTAAACATCCGATTATACAACATACACCGCCGTGCACCGCAGAAGGCTAATAATCCCGTAAAGCACCACATTACAAAATTAACGCCAAAGGAAGTAGGATGGTCATTTCGACCAATCTTGTGTTATATATTGCATTCGCGATCGTTGTGCTTGGAACCACGACCACGCGTAGCATCTCGACTGCCCACGCGATCGTCCAAGCAAAGCCGACTGAGTCCAACTTAATCGACGGAACAGAGAAAACTTTTCATGGGGCGACTCGCGAGTTGTCAGATCATGCCTTCGACGAGGAAAGAAAAGGAGGCGGAGGCGGTCGAGGAGGGCAGAAAACATCAACAAGAGGGACTAAACGAGGTTACTATCTTTACGGAGCAGGAAACCCAAACATGGGGCTATGGAACACGAACGGAGTCACACGCAACAAAGAATGCAACGATGCTGGTGGAAGCGGCTATTTAACAAGAACATCAAAGAGTGCTCAGAAGAAGATTCGCGTCAACTTCGGGGTTAGCCACAGAGGCGCAGTACGCAGTCCTTACTAAAGATCAAACAGTGATAGCTCACCATATTTTTCCTAGACTTGCTATAAATTGGTCTGTTGCTTTTTTCACCGCTGCGTAATTAAGTCTGCAAGACCACAAACGTCGACACCACCAAAATCCTACCAAAACAACCGCGTTTTCAAACGATTGGAAGTAACACCACTGTTATGCGCATTCTGACTTGTTCAAAATGATAATATACTATCCTAACTTGCGAGCCTTTTTTGGTAGTTCAAAGTATTAGAAGAAATCAAATCGAACAACCGGAGCATCAAAAATGAAGCCGTTGGGAAACGAATTCAGTGTAAATACCAACACCGACAACAACAACGACAAAAGCAAAGGGTGATCTACAACATTTGTTTACGGGGTTGAGCACGTGTAAGCAACTAAAAAAACAGTTTGTTCACAGCAAATCTGTCCAATATATTATCCAGAACTTACACCATGATGCTAGTCTCCACAGCCTATGTCTTGATCGAACTTGAGGGGGCCAAAAATCCTTTCCTACTTGGTTGACGATGAAGACTTGCGCACTTCTAAGCAAAACGGATTCTGATTGATGTTTACCACGTGTCTACCTACTTCCCATCCCACCTGCACCTATGTTCCGACCCATCTTCATGTTGGTTCCTCCGATCTTACCGTCGATCGCCGATCGACTTCTTGATTGTCGATTGACTTCTTGATCGGTAGTCGAGACCTTCATCGCTGATCTTCGTCTTGACCGTCGATCGGAATCTTGATCGCCGATCATCCGCGTGGATCCTTGTTCGTCGGCGTGGGCCACCTGGGCCGACCGGCTCCGGTAATCGTCCGATCGTCTTCGGGCTCCTCGTCGCCTGTGCTTTCACTTTGCTTGCCGATCGGTGACACTCCTAATTCGCTTTAGTGATTTTAAATAAGCGGAACTGGTGTGTTCGCGTTGATGAACGCCACAAAATCTGACAATATCATTTGTGAGAGACTCTGGGGCATTTCTTTGCGTCTTGAAGGAAATACAGCACGAATTCAGCCGGAATG